CATGAGTCTTGAGAAAGATAAAATCTGAGAAAGTCTTGTAGTCTCCAATTAGGAATAAAAACTGGACTCAGAGTGGACTCTGCACCTCAGTCCAACAGAGGCTGCAGGTCCCCTGACCCATTGCAACAGATTTCGTGTTCTGTCTTCATTTTCGTTGCTCGCTCCCGGACCAATTAGGGCAACATTTCATTTTTTGAAAGTTGAATTTTAAGCCAACTTTTTCACTCTCCTCTTTCACTTTCATCAAGAGGCTCTTTAGTTCTTCTTCACTTTCTGCCATAAGGGTGGTGTCATCTGCATATCTGAGGTTATTAATATTTCTCCTGGCAATCTTGATCCAAGCTTATGCTTCATCCAGCCTGGCATTTCTCATGATGTACTCTGCATATAAGTTAAATAAGCAGCGTGACAATATACACCCCTGACATAATCCTTTCCTGATTTGGAACCAGTCTGTTGTCCCATGTCCAGTTCTAACTGTTGCTTCTTGACCTGCATACAGGTTTCTCAGGAGGCAGGTCAGGTGGTCTGGTATTCCCACCTCTTGAAGAATTTTCCACAGTTTGTTGTGATCCACACAGTCAAAGGCTTTGGCTTAGTCAATAAAGCAAAAGTAGATGTTTTTCTGGAACTCTCTTGCTTTTTTGGTGATCCAACGGTTGTTGGCAATTTGATCTCTGGTTCCTCTGCCATTTCTTAATCCAGCTTGAACATCTGGAAGTTCACGGTTCATGTACTGTTGAAGACTGGCTTGGAGAATTTTGAGCATTACTTTGCTAGCATGTGATGAGTGCAATTGTGCGGTAGTTTGAACATTCTTTGGCATTGCCTTTCTTTGGGATTGGAATGAAAACTGACCTTTTCCAGTCCTGTGGCCACTGCTGAGTTTTCCAAATTTGCTGGCATATTGAGTGCAGCACTTTAACAGCAGTATCTTCTAGCATTTGACATGGCTCAACTGGAATTCCGTCATCTCCATTAGCTTTGTTTGTAGTGATGCCTCCTAAGTCCCACTTGACTTTGCACTCCAAGATGTCTGGCTTTAGTCCAGTCATCACACCGTCATGGTTATCTGGGTCATTAAGATCTTTTTTGTACAGTTCTTCTATGTATTCTTGCCACCTCTTCTGCTTCTGTTAGGTCCATACCATTTCTGTCCTTTATCAAACCCATCTTTGCATGAAATGTTTCCTTGGTATCTCTAATTTTCTTGAGATGTCTAGTCTTTCCCATTCTATTGTTTTCCTCTATTTCTTTCCTTTGATCACTGAGGAAGGCTTTCTTATCTCTCCTTGCTATTCTTTGGAACTCTGCATTCAAATGGGCATATCTTTCCTTTTCTCCTTTGCTTTTCACTTCTCTTCTTTACACAACTATTTATAAGGCCTCCTCAGACAACCATTTTTCCTTTTTGCATTTCTTTTTCTTGGGGATGGTCTTGATCACTATCTTCTGTACAGTGTCACAAACCTCTGTCCATAGTTCTTTGGGCACTCTGTCTATCAGATCTAATCCCTTGAATCTATTTGTTACTTCCACTGTATAATCATAAGGGATTTGATTTAGGTCATATCTGAATGGTCTAGTAGTTTTCCCTACTTTCTTCAATTTAAGCCTGAATTTGGCAATAAGGAGTTCATGATCTGAGCCACAGTCAGCTCCAGGTCTTGTTTTTGCTGACTGTATAGAGCTTCTCCCATCTTTGGCTGCAAAGAATATAATCAATCTGATTTCAGTATTGGCCATCTGGTGACGTCCATGTGTAGAGTCTTCTCTTGTGTTGTTGGAAGAGGGTGTTTGCTATGACCAGTGCGTTCTCTTGGCAAAACTCTGTTAGCCTTTGACCTGCTTCATTTTATACTCCAAGGCCAAATTTGCCTGTTACTCCAGGTATCTCCTGACTTTCTACTTTTGCATTCTAGTCCCCTATGATGAAAAGGACATCTTTTTTGCGTGTTAGTTCTAGAAGTTCTTGTAGGTCTTCATAGAACCATTCAACTTCAGCTTCTTCAGCATTACTGGTTGGGGCATAGACTTGGATTACTGTGATATTGAATAGTTTGCCTTGGAAATGAACAGAGATCATTCCATCATTTTTGAGACTGCACCCAAGTACCGCATTTGGACTCTTTTGTTGACTATGATCGTTACTCCATTTATTCTAAGGGATTCTTGCCCACAGTAGTAGATACACACATTCCAGTCCATTTTAGTTCACTGATTCCTAAAATGTCGATGTTCACTCTTGCCATCTCCTGTTTGACCACTTCCAATTTACCTTGCAGAGACATTACTTTGCTAACAAAGGTCCGTCTATGGTTTTTCCAGTAGTCATGTATGGATGTGAGAGTTTGGACTATATAGAAAGCTGAGTGCCGAAGAATTGATGCTTTTGAACTGTGGTGTTGGACAAGATTCTTGAGAGTCCCTTGGACTGCAAGGACATCCAACCAGTCCATCCTAAAGGAAATCAGTCCTGAATATTCATTGGAAGGACTGATGCTGAAGCTGAAACTCCAATACTTTGGCCACCTGCTTCGAAGAACTGACTCATTTGAAAAGACCCTGATCCTGAGAAAGATTGAAGGCAGGAGGAGAAGGGGACGACAGAGGATGAGATGGTTGGATGCTATCACCAACTCAATGGACATGAGTTTGAGTGAGCTCTGGGAACTGGTAATGGACATGGAAGCCTGGCATGCTGCAGTTCATGGGGTTGCAAAGAGTCAGACACAACTGAGCAACTGAACTGAACTGAATTTACCTTGATTCACGGACTTAACATTCCAGGTTCCTATGCAGTATTGTTCTTTACAGCATTGAACTTTACTTCCATCACCAGTCATATCCACAACTGGGCATTGTTTTTGCTTTGGCTTCATCTCTTCATTCTTTCTGGACTTATTTCTCCACTCTTCTCCAGTAACATATTGGGCACCTGCCGACCCAGGGAGTTCATCTTTCAGTGTCATATCTTTTTGCCTTTTCATACTGTTCATGGGGTTCTCAAGGCAAGAATACTGAAGTGGTTTGCCATTCCCTTCTCCAGTGGGCCAAGTTTTGTCAGAACTCTCCATCACGACCCATCCACCATGGGTGGCCATACACGGCGTAGCTCATAGTTTCATTGAGTTAGACAAGGCTGTGGTCCATGTGATCAGTTGATTAGTTTTCTGTGACTGTGGTTTTCATTCTGTCTGCCCTCTGATAAGGATAAGAAGCTTATGGAAGCTTCCTGATAGGAGAGACTGACTGATGGGGAAACTGGGTCTTGTTCTGATGGGTGGGGCCATGCTCAGTAAATCTTTAATCCAATTTTCTGTTGATGGGTAGGGCTGTGTTCCCTCCTTGTTGTTTGGCCTGAGACCAAACTATGGTGGAGGTAATGAAGATAATGTCGACTCCGAGGTAATACACAAATGCTTGCACCTTGATAATTGCACCTTGTGATTTCATGGCTGCAGTCACAGTCCACAGTGATTTTGAAACCCAAGAAAATAAAATCTGTCACTGCCTCCACTTTTTCCTCTTCTATTTTCCAGAAAGTGATGTGACCAGATGCCATAATCTTAGTTTTTTGAATGTTGAATTTTAAGCCAGCTTTTTTGCTCTCCTCTTTCACCTTCATCAAGAGGCTCTTTAGTTCCTCTTCACATTCTGCCATTAGAATGGTATCATCTGCATATCTAAGGTTGTTGATATTTCTCCCAGCAATCTTGATTCCAGGTTGTGGTTCATCTAACCCAGCATTTCTCATGATGTACTCTGCATATAAATTAAATAAACAGGATGACAATATACAGCCTTGACGTACTCCTTTCCCAATTTTGAACCAGTTTGTTTTTCTGTGTAAGGTTTTAACTGTTGCTTCTTGATCGGCATACAGGTTTCTCAGGAGACAGGTAAAATGGTCAGGTATTCCCATCTCTTTAAGAATTTTTCCAGTTTGTTGTGATTCTCATAAGTCAAAGGCTTTTGTGTAGTCAATGAAGCAGAAGTAGATATTTTTCTGGAATTCCCTTGCTTTCTCTATGATCCAGCGAATGTTGGCAATTTGATCTCTGGTTCCTCTGCCTTTTTCTTCGTGGATCATACTTTGAGTTATATGGTTTAATTGACATTAGAACCATCTGTTTTTTCAAAGGTTAAACAAAACTCAGCACTGAACCCATCTGGTTCCAGTGCCTGTATCAATGGTAGATCTTTACTCATCTTCTAAATCATTGCTATTGATTCCTCCCACCCCCAAATTCTTGGATCACTTTAACAATTTAAACTTGCTAAGTAATGTCAGTGTCCTCTAGGGTTTTAGATTTGTTGACCTAAAATTTCATATAGGATTCCTTTAAAATTCTAATTTTGGTGACAATGTTTCTTTTCTCATTCTTAATGTTGTATACTTTTAGTTTTACTTTTTTTAAAGTCAGGCTTACAAGCAGCATTTGGATTATTTAGATTTTTTTTTTTTTTACTTTTTTCACTTTCTGTTGTATTAATTTCAGCTTTTATTTTATTATACTGTTTCTAGCTTGTTTGGGTGTTATTCTGATTTCTTAGGGGGAATATTAAGTTCCTTTATGCCTCATCTTTAGTAATGAATTCACCTATTAAAACCCAGAGACGCAATACCACCAAACTACTATCTGCCTAGCAACAGGTGATCTCACTCCAGCCACAGCAAGGGATCCTCCTCAAAGAATAAACTTGGAGAGAAGATGCTCAAAGAAGGCAGGGATGATGGGGTGAAGGGAGTGGGAAGAACTGAACTAGGCGTCACACCTAAACGCGCAGATCCTCAGCTTTCAAAGCTCTGGGAATCATGGGGAATGCGGCTCCCTTCAGAGAGAGAAATCCAAGACGCCCGCAGCGGTCTACGGACTGTGGGTCCGAAGCCTAGAAGAGTGAGTCCACAGCGGCTGGGCGGGGGTCTGAAGAGGGCAGGCACGGCAGATGCGAGCGCACCTTCAAGGTAAATTGCCTACCTCACCTTTCGGCTACAGAGAGATACTAAAATCTCCTCTGACCCCAGTGGCAATGGTTTGCACCGACCTTCATACCCTCGTCGCGTGCCCAGGCCGCCCCACCCCCAAGCGCCCGCAGAAGCGACCGGTCTTGTCCAGATTCGCGTGTCAGTGGCGGGTAAAGGTGGGGGGTGGTCCCAGTTCCTGACCTCTCTGGGAGCTAGGCGTCTGTTCCCCCTTCCTGCACCGCTCCGCCTCTGGACGCAGGCCTCGGAACTTCCCCTCCCATCTCCCTTTCTTCCCAGGAATTTAGGGGTCCAGGATGCCCTGAACCTGGGCGGGGAGCGTCGGCCCCCAAGCCGGGTAGCAAAACGCCAGCGGTTAGAGCAGAAGTCTGGTGGCCCATCTGGCCCCCTCTCTGCTCCCCAGCTCGCCTCCCATCTCCTCCCCCTTTCTCTCTCCTCAACCAGGCCTCGGATGGGCCCGCCCTGGAGACAACGACTCTCTCCAGCAGGTGATGGGGCTGAGGCCGGTAGGGTTGGGATGTGATAGACCGGCCTTCACTGATTCTAGACTCCTGGTACTCTCCCATCTGAATCAAAGAGCAAACTGCAGGTGAGAAGCCTTGAAAGGGTGACAAGGGGTTGGCTGCTGTTGGAGGTAGGGTGGGGGCTGGGAGTCGGAGCGGGAAGCAGTGGGCTGTTCAGGAAGGGCCCTGGGTGCTAAACTAAACCGGCTGTGAAGCATACGATTTAAGCAGACCATAGATTTGGTCAGGTTTATATAATGACTCCAGAATATTACGTAGCCATTAAAAATCATATTTTAAAAGAATGCCTTATTACCTAGGAGAATACTCATTATATACTCATGATATAATGGAAATGTATATTGTATATATCCAATAAATCTCCAATCTGTAAGAAATAACTTATATGTTCATAGAGTATATATTAATGTATATTTATATACTCTGTGTTACGTCTGGGGCTTCCCAGGTGGCTCAGTGTTAATCTGCCTGCAATGCAGGATACCCTTGGGGTGGGTTTGATCCTTGGGTGGGGACCATCCCCTGGAGAAGGGAATGGCAACCCACTCCAGTATTCTTGCTTGGAGAATTCCATAAACAGGGGAACCTGGTGGTCTACAGTCCATGGGGTCCCGAAGAGTCGAACACAGACTGATTGACCAACACTTTCACTTTCATGTTACTTTTAACAGTATTATCCAATATATATGTTCTATAATCGTATCTCATTTGTAAGAAATAGATATATATGTATTAATAATTGTAGTTTTAAATTTTAATAATTTTAGTTTTAAAAATATTTATTTATTTATTTGGCTGCATTGGGTCTTATTTAAGGCACACGGGATCTTAAGTCTTCATTTTAACCATGTCTGTTTATGAACAGATATACTAAATTCTAATAAACTCACCTTTACCTATTGTTTGCCTTATGGTTAGCCCTTTCTAAGTTCTGTTTAAGGAATCTTTCCTAACCTCCAAATCATGAAGATATTCTCCCATATTAATTTCTTTAGAAGCTTCCTGGATTAATTTTTGTATGTTGTGAGCTAATAGTCAAATTTTGTTTTTTCAATATGAGTATACATTTTCCCCATCATAATTACTTAATTCTGTCATTTCCATGATCTTCTGAGTTGACATGGAATACCTCTCCAGTTATTCAAAACTTTTACTTCTCTCAGTAATCATTTGTAGGTTTTGGTATAAAGGTCTTTTCTTTCGTTAGATTAGTTCTTAAACACTTGAAATATCTTCATGTTATTATAAACATTACCTTTAATTTTTTAATTACCTGTCTATTTCTTGTTGGTATTAGAAATGCTATTAGTAGTATTCCATTAACTCTGTATTCAGCAACCTTGTTATTACTCACTTATTAATCCAGTTATGTACTTATGGATTCCTTTTTATTTTTCACATAAATAATGACACTTTTCCTTCTCTTTCCAAACTTTATACTCTAAAAAATCTTATTCTACTTTCTAGGACCTCATGTCAATTATCTATTGCCGTCAAAATGCTGTTCAATACATCACTTCAGAATTCAGTGACTTAAAACAACCGGAATTTATTACTGTATCTCATGAGTCATTAGGCTAGGGTCAGCAAATATGTGTGGGGCTACTGACTGTTCTAAGCTAGCTTGAGCTGGGACCTCTGGAGTGATTTGGCTCCCGTTTATATGTCTCTATTTCAGCAGATTAGTCTAGATGCGTCCTTATGGTGATAGCAAGAGTGCAAGAGAGCAAGCAGTAACAACGAAAGTTTTGCAGCCTAGTCTCTGAATTGGCACACCAGCCTAGATTCAAGCGATAGGAAAGTAGATTACAGCCTCTCTTAGCGAGAAGATCTCCAGAACATTGTGAAAGGAGTAGATAAAGGAAAAACTGAAGATGTGGGGCCATAGATGTTATTAACCTATCCAAATTTTAAATTCGGTTTGACTAGATGGGATGGTAGTGGGCACCTTGTCTTATTACTGATCTCCAAGGGAAGGCTTTCAAAATTTTATCACTAAGTTTGATGTTTGCTGTAAGCTTTTCTGTAAGTAATCTCTATGAAATTAAGAATGTTCAATTTTAGTTGTGGTGCATGGGTTTAGTTGCTCCGCGACATACGGGATCTTAGTTCCCTGACCAAGGATAAAATCCACGTCCCCTGTGTTGGAAGGAGGATTCAAGGATCTTCATTTTTAGTCCTACTTCCCCAAGAGTTCTTTTTTAATGAATAGTTTTTGCATTTTATCAAAAATTTACACAAATATTTAGATGATCTTATGACTTGTATCCTTTATTGTGTTATCTTGATTGATATTTTTTAAACTTTTAAACTTCCCTGCATTACTGGAATAAACTCAACTCAATTGTGATGTAATGTTTTTATGTGTTGATGCATTTGATTTGCTAGTATTTTGTTTGGGATGTTTGCATTAATGTTCATGAAAGATATTGGGAATGTGATTTTCTTTTTTTTTCCATAATTCCCTGCCAGGTTTTGGTATTAAGGTTAGGCTGGTCTCGCTACTTTTTCTATTCTGGAAGATTTTAATTCAAGATTAGTAGTATTTATTTCTTTAATGTTCAGTACAATTCATCAGTAAAATTACAAGGTCAGAAGTTTGCTATGGAGGAATATTGCTAATTAAGAAGCAATTTATTTAAAAGTATAGGACATGTATCTTCTCAAGTTATGATTTTCTCAGGATATATGCCCAGGAATGGGATTGCTGGATTATATGGTAGCTCTCTTTTTAGTTTTCTAAGGAACCGTTGTACTGTTCTCCATAGTAGCTGTACCAATTTACATTCCCACCAACAGTGTAGGAGGGTTCCCTTTTCTCTACACCCTCTCCAGCATTTAGCAATTTATTGTTTGTAGAATTTTTTGATGATGGCTATTCTGACCAGTTTGAGGTGATACCTCATTGTAGTTTTGATTTACATTTCTCTGAGTGCTTAGTCACTTAGTCCAACTCATTGCGACCCCATGGGCTGTAGCTTGCCAAGCTCTTCTGTTTGTGGGGATTCTCTAGGCAAGAATACTGGAGTGGGTTGCCATACCCTCCTTCAGCAGATCTTCCCAACCCAGGGATTGAACCCAGGTCTCCTGCATTGCAGGCAGATTCTTTACTGTCTGAGCCCCCAGGGAAGCCCAGTATTTAGTGATGTTGAGCACCTTTTCATGTGCTTTTTGGCCATCTGTATGTCTTCTTTGGAGAAATGTCTGTTTAGATCTTCCACCCCCCTTTTTTGGCCGTGCCATGACCAGTTCCCCAACCAGGGATAGAACCTCCACCCTCTGCAGTGGAAGTGCAGTCTTAAGCACTGAACCACCAAGGAAATCCCTTTCCTCATTTTTGATTGGGCTGTTTGTGAAGTATTTTTTTGTTTGTTTTTAATTAAGCTGCATGAGCTGTTTGTATATCTTGGAGATTAATTCCTTGTGGTTCACTTCATTTCAAATATTTTCTCCCAGGTTGTGGCTTGTCTTTTCATCTTGCTTGTGGTTTCTTTTTAAGTTTCTTTTATTTTTGTTTTCAGTACTCTAGGAGGTGGATCAAGAAAGATCTTGCTGCGAATTATGTCAGAGAGTGTCCTGCTGATGTTTTCCTCTGGGAGTTTTATAGTACCTGGTCTTCTTTAATTCATTTTGAGTTTATTTTTGTGTTTGGTGTTAGAGACAGATTTAGGTTTAAATCTACCATCTGATTAGGTGTTTTGTACTTGTCTTATCTATTCTATATTTCTTTTTCTCTTCTTTCTTGCATTCTTTGTACATTGATTGTTTTCATTAGTCCATTTTTTTCCTCTGATAGCTTAGGAATTATATTATTTTAATGATTCCCCCACATATTAAAGATACATATATTTTATCAAATTATATTTATTTGTACTTTTATCCTCTTCCTAGACAATGAAAAGTACTTCCAGTAATTAAATTCCCATTTACCACCCTCCTAATCTGTGTTGTTATATATTTAGTTCTTTACTTAATTAAAACTAAACAAAGTGTTCCTGTTGTTTTTTCTTCAGTCTCAATTTTATCCACGTATTTTCATTTTAATTACTCTCAATTCTTTTCTGCATGTCTGACCTTTCTTCTGAGGTAAATTTTCTTCTTCCAGAAGAAACGTCTGTATTATTTTTAGTAGTGCCAGGCTTCTGGCAACAAAACTCCATGGTTTTGTTAGTCCAAAAATGTATTTACTTCATCTTCATTCTTGAAGAATATGTTTTCTAGAAATGGAATTCCAAATTCAAAGTTATTGTCTTTCAGCACTTTAAAGATTTAATTCCACTTCCCACTTGCTATAACAGTTATTAAATATTTTGAAATTGATCTATTGCTTATAAGATGAGAAAAAAACCGAGTGTCAGAGAAATGAAATTATTTTCTCAAAGTCAGTAACTCATGACAGCTCTGGCCTTCACTGGTCTAAAACCTCTCTTAAAACATTAGTTTATTTATATTTGGCTGCGCTGGGTCTTCCTGGCTGCTAGGGCTTTTCGGTTGCTTCAGAGATCAGGGGCTACTCTTCACTGCAGTGCTTGAGCTTCTCATTACGGTGGTTTCTCTTGCTGTGGAGCCAGGGCTCTCGGGCACACGGGCTTCAGTAGTTGTGGCGAGTGGGCTCAGTAGTTGTGGCTCCCGGGCTTTAGAGCACAGGCTCAATAATTGTGGCGCACGGGCTTAGTTGCTCAGAGGCATGTGGGATCTTCCCTGACCAGGGATCGAACCTGTGTCTCCTGCATTGGCAGGCAGATTCTTTACCACTGAGCCACCAGGAAAGCCCTCTAGAACCTTTTCTGTCATGGGGTTTTACAGTCTGGTATCTTGAGACAGGTTCCTTAAAGTCTGCTCTGCTTGGTGACCCCAAGATTCCCTCAGGAGTTAGTGGGCCTGTAAGAAGAAAGTCATGGAGTCCCTTGAAGAAATATCAGAGGAAGAGTCCCCCAAAGAACGCCACACTTCCTCAACACCATCCTG